TGTGTGTGTGTGTGTGTGTGTGTGTGTGTGTGTGTGTGTGCTCCTGAGACTGCAAAGGGAAACTGAATGTTACCGACAGCACAAACAGCTCTCAGTCGTACCAGCATAGTGTCAGCTTGCAAGAATCTCAGACAGATTTTCCAAGAGATAAGTGACACAAAAACTAAAAATTTCAGATAAGAGGGAGTATTGACAACTTCTGGCGGCATTTTAGATGAAACCATATGAGGATAATGTAGCCAGTTCAATTCAAATAAATATCAAAGACAAAATTTCTGCCCTCAAAATTAATAAAAGCAATTTTTAAGTGTCAAAACAAGATGTTACCTACTTGAAATTATGCATGACGATAAAATAAACTTGGCTGGTTCTTTATTTGAGACCTGCCTAACAAAACTATTAGTCAGAAAACTGATTTTTGTTGAAGCAAAAATGTCACCTTCCAGCATGACTATCTGCATCTTGAATTATATTTTCATTATTTTCTGATGTTCTCCAGGACAAATGACTAATGAAAAAACTATTCAATCAATAAAAGAGTTGCAATTTTGCATTATTTCGATTCATAAAAATCTAATATACTGTAAAATGTCTTAAAATGATGAAAAAGTCCAAGGTACAACTTCAAATTGCATTTTACAGTTAACACTGAACAAGTGTATAAAACAGAAACAACACCAACATTTTTCACAAAGGTTCAGCCAGAACCAGAGAATATTTGGCATTAAATAACAAATCACTACAACCAATAAACTATTCAAGTGTTCCAGCCCTAATTAAGCCTTTTGGGTGCTCAATCTTAAGGTGAATAGTGATTTTTTTAAATGCTGTAAGGGGGGAGGAGGATGTGGAGGAAAGAGCACAGCTATTCTACAGATGTGCTGGCTTTCGGGCTTTAAACAGCAGAAGGGAATGCCAGATTTATTAAGATAAGTCTACAAAAGCTTAACTCAGCAATGGGTTTTTCTCTGAGATGCATGAAGACATTAAGAGGCTGGACTGCAACACAAATAACGGGTTCTGAAACGTAGCTTAGTCAAACATCCAGTGACTCAGTTGTTCCTTAGCAACCTGCCTGACCCAACCTGTTGACGCAGAGCTTGCTCAATAAACACTTCAGCAGAGAGGAAAAGGGAGGGGAGGAGACAGGGAACCCCCCCTCCATATGTCCAGTCCAGTGCTGACTTTGTGGGCTGGGTTTCTGCTTCCAGCTGTGATGCATTACAGTGCAGTCATATCTCCGTGTTTGCAGCCTTCGTGGCTTTATTTACAGCAATCAGCTATATGTCTGTGTGTGCTCCTCGCTTACCTTCCCCCCACTTAACTACAGAAAAACAAACACGGCGACCTATGTGGTTTCCTTGGTGGAGGAAAAACAGCTCTCAGGGTGTCTCCATAAATGCCAGCTTTGTCCCAGCAAAGGTGAGGAGTGGTTGGGTTTAGGGCAGGCAGTGGGGGTACCCAACCGTCACTAAACACTGATAGATTAACTCAAAGAAGTGTATGTGTACAGCTCTCTCCCCTCTCCTCCCTCCTCCTGTCTTCACCTTACTAACGCCTCAGGTAAAGTTACCTCACCTAGTGCAAAAGAAGTGAAAGCATCATTAAAACTCTCTCTGGCCCGCAGAGCTGACAGTTAACCATCTGGTGTTTCCATCTTCACAGTCAAACGCACAACTTAAAAAATGAACTTTTAAAGCAGGAGGACGACATAAAACACTGCGACTGAGTCGGTTATTCTGCTCACATTTTCCCATGTTTCACTGTTTCCTATTAAGTAGTCAGGTTGGAATATGGCTTGCAGAACAACACCCGCCCTACTTTCCACATAACTGGTCCAAATGTAAGGCGATGTCACTGTGGCTCCCAGGGTGGAAAAAAGAAAAAAAATTCCAAATTAAAGCTGCATTCACAAAACCACTTTCCCTTTTCTATTTTTACATTTTTCTAATCGCAGGCTCGAGTTGTGGAATGAATCACTGCTCCTGCTTGTTTTTCTTGCATAGCAACCAATCAGTATTGTTTATCTATTTTTAAAAAAAGAGCATCGTTGTTCTTGACTTTTGAAGGGCTGGGTGCAAACATTTTTGTCATGCCAACGTCATCCATAGGAGAGGAGGCAAAATGGAAAGAATTCTTCATGAGTCATTCAGTGTCAAGTCATGGAATCATGTTGGAGGTCCACGACACAGCCTGCCTTCACCTTGAGAATGAATGACTCTTTTTCTTCTAGTGTCCTGACACAGCCAACCAGAGGACAGAATCATGTTTACACAGGATTTTAAAAAAGTGAGCTGCAGTGCATGAATGGATTTCCAAAAGCAGTAGAACAGTGAGTCATGAATTGCTAGGTCTGTGTGTTTGTGTGTGTGCGCGCACGGCCCTGAGATCAAGAGGCCTCCCGCGTCAACTATGCTCTATTGACTCTGATCACATGACCGAGGGAATTCCAGCTCCGCTCTGCCAGATATTCACCAAGAGGCAGCAGATGAGGTAACACAATGCTCATGTGAGGGCTGACAGTGTGTTCATGACAGTCATAATGCTTGACATGAACTGATGCTGACTCTGTACGGGCACACAGTCATGATAGTCATGAGAAATGCTGTTTGCGTGACTGCGAAATAAAACAGCAGAATTGTGTGAATGAGAACGATACAAGCGTGCACATCCGACCTGATCTCTCAGAGGTTTTTGCACCATACATAAATAATTCGCTAAGGGTGTTTCAAGCCTCGAAATGCTCACAGCATCTCAATGTTGTGAGAAAAAAAATCCTCTGCAGTATTACATAACTCTATAGCTATTACCAGGGGCCAAAGCATATCAACATTTCCCTCTCTGAATACTACTATGACCTTCTTAGCTGCTGACACACTTTTGACTCAGACTATGGGGAACTGATGACTATCAATGGCCGAGAGCTGCCACTGATATCAAAATGAGGGGGATAAAAACACAACATAAATAAAAATTGGCTTTTTAATGTATTCACGCCAGCCTCCCATAGATGGAAGCCCTGCGTCATATAGAGCTACAATTGTCAGGTAATCCCATATTGAAAGTTTTTTTTTTTTTTTTTTTGACTAGGTGCAGATTTGATGCAGAGACACAAGCACTGTTGGAAGAAGTCATTCATTCGGGAGGTATTAAAATGACTAAGTTTGAAGTGAATTATCTTTCTTTTGATTCAGGGGGAAAGCCTTCAAGGACTTCTGGAGGTCCTTGAACAGATTTAAAAAATCTCATTGCTCAGGCGGACAACACTGAGGCTGTGGCTTAATTTAAACGCAATTTATCGTCAAGCCCACAGCCATGTGACAGAGTAGCTGCAGCGGTGTAACGCACTGTAACAGCTGAGTGACATGTAACAGCAGCAGGCTACGCTGTGAAGTAACGTTTCCTCAGCTGAGGGGTAACCTTAGGACTGACAAATCACTAATTTCACTGCGGGGCGCTGCTCGTAACCAAAAATAGTTATAAGGACGCGAGAGTGAAGATACAAAACGAGCTGTCAATGAAATATTTAGAGTCAGCACCACCCAGCCCCACTCTCTTCCTCTCCGCGCTACACTCGACAGCAGTTTTCACTGCGGAGCGGACACGAGACAACAAGCTGCCTTTCGCCACTCACCTCTGGAAGATATTCCACAGGAAGCCCTGGTCCGGAGGAGCGTTGATGTGAGGGGGAGCTCTGTACGGACTGTGGTACGCCATTTTAAAGGGAATGCTCAGGAAGAAATTGTGCGACTCGGGCTTGTCTTTCCTCCTGCTGTAGTTTCTCCTCTCGGCGGCTTCAATCAGACTCCTCCACCCGACGTTCACGTTACCGCCTGCCTCCGCGCGCTCAGGGGCGGGGCACTACCCAGAAGGAGAGTGACGTCACACCCTGCTTTCAGTAACAGTAAAAATAGAAACTGTAATGTTCACGTTACAATAAAGTGTAACATTCAAATTACTGATCAACTGTAACATTCAAGTTACCATTAACTGTTCCATTCAAGTGACTGTTAAACTGCGTCATTCAAGTTACTGATAAACTGTAACATTCAAGTTACTGATCAAGTGTAACATTCAAGTCATTGTTAAACTGCAACATTCAAGGTACTGTTAAACTGCAACATTCAAGTTACCTTAAATTATAACATTCAAGTTACTGTTAAACTGTAACATTCATCCATCCATCCATCCATTATCTATACACCACTTAATCCTCACTAGGGTCGCGGGGGGGCTAGAACCTATCCCAGCCAACTTAGGGCGAAGGCAGGGGACACCCTGGACAGGTCGTCTGTCTATCGCAGGGCCCTGTAACATTCAAGTTACCTCAAGTTACTGTTAAACTGTAACATTCAAGTTACCTTAAACTGCAACATTCAACTTATCATAAAGTGTAACATTCAAGTTACCTATCAATTGTAACAATCAAGTTACCATAAACTGTAACATTCAAGTTACTGAACAACTGTAACACTCAAGTTACCATAAACTGTAACATTCAAGTTACTTATTAACCAACATTCAAGTTACTGTTAAACTGTAACATTCAAGTTACTGATAATCTGTAACATTCAAGTTACTGATAAACTGTAAAATTCAAGTTACTGATCAAGTGTAACATTCAAGTTACTGTTAAACTGTAACATTCTGTGACACCAGAAAAACTCAATAAATATAATGGAGCTATCCCAGAATTATGCTTCAGGTGTGGAGAGGAGAGGGGGACGTTCTTTCATTGCGTCTGAATTCTTTATCCTGTGTGAACTGTATTTTTTGAAATTGAGAACCTTGCATAAACGTGAAAAATTTTCAAGCTTTCCCATGTTAAAATAAAGAAACTCTTGTTGTTATTGTTAATTATTTTGTTCATTTCTTGTTTTGTTTGTTTGTTTTTCTCTCTCAATCTATATAGTTACTATATTTGCAGGTCATATACTCTGTTCTTCACTAACTGATGTTACACAGACCTGGTATGCAAGTAAGAGTGATTTGAACACTAGACAATAATTTAGCTGCCCTTGATGTTTTTCTTGATGTGAGAGGACTCTTGTGTCTGTGTATTGTCAGAAGCAATGTGAAACTTCAATAAAAATAGTGTTGGAAAAACCTGTAACATTCAAGCTACCTTAAATTGTAACATTCAAGTTACTGATAAACTGTACAATTCAAGTTACCTTGAACTGTAACATTAAAGTTACAGATAAACTGTAACATTCAAGTTACTGATCAGCTGTAACAATCAAATTACCATAAACTGTAACATTGAATTAACAATTGAATTTCCCTTCTGGGATAAATAAAGTATTTTTCATTTTTCATTTCATTGTAGTTACTGATCAACTGTAACATTCAAGCTACTGATCAACTAACATTCAAGTTCCCATTAACTGTAAAATTCAAGTTACTGATTTACCAACATTCAAGTTACCGTCAAACCGTAACATTTAAGTTACCAATAAACTATAATATTCAAGCTACCTTAAACTGTAAAATTTTAGTAACTAATAAACTAACATTCAAGTTACCAATAAACTAACACTCAAGTTACTGACAAACTGTAACATCTTAGTTACTGATAAACTGCAACAGTCAAGTTTTTGACAAACTAACATTGAGGTTAATGGCAAACTGTAGCACTTGTTATACTTATGCCAGAAAGTTCCTATATGTGTATTTATATGGATGTATCCATATTACTTACAGAAAATACAGTCTTTGGTTGACATTTCACCGACTTTTGAGGCTTCCAACACTGGTAAAATGTGATGTGTGGCAAGAATGCCGCCCCAGCTTTGCAATTTTTTTGCTATTTTGACATGCTAATCTGATGATGTGGATTATTCATAAAACCACAAAAAACAATGTGTCTAAGGGGCTATATATTGTCTTTACATATGCAAAGTTTTGAGATATGGGAACATTTGATAAGTCAAAAACGGCTTCATATGTTGTTAAATTTCAACATGGAAAAAGTTCTTGGTCTTACTTGGAAATAAGGGACGTAACTCCCATTTTGGGGCATAATTGTCAACTTTAAAGCCTTATATCTCTGTACCCAAAACTCAGATGTTTGAAGCAATTTAAAGAAAAAAGGAGAGGAAAGCTTTGAGCTGGCATACTATTGCTCCAGGACAATGGCGATGCCAGGACAACGTGGCACTGTACAGCATGTATCTTTTACCTGACCTGAAGTCCTCCAGGCTGTTGAGGAGAATCTGGAGGCTCAAGATGTGACCTTTTTCTGCAAAAGGATAGTAAAGCTTGAACATCAGTGGAACAAGTGCGTTGAAGACGTATATGTTGAAAAAAAAGGCAAGAACAATCTTTCTCCTGTGACATTTTCTGGTGAGACCGAGAACTTTTCAAACTATTCTTGTAAGGGCAAAAGGCAGATTTTATGTACTGGTAATGTATTATAGAGCTAAAGCATTAAGAAGTTAATCTGATCCCCAAGTAGTGTGGGAAGAAGTATTCCCATGTTTAACTTAGGAAAAAGTATCAATATAACATAATAAAATTGATCCGCTACAAATAAAACAATCAAACGTTGAGCATTAGCACAAAAACAGTCAACCAGTACATAATGAAGACATTTCTATAGAAATGACACTTGTAGTTGGACAAGCTGGAGCTTGTTTTTCATTTTCTATACTTACTATGCTATACTTTATGTACTGTTGGGCAGTTTAATCTGAACTCTACAATGTGATATAAAATGCTTTTAAAAGATTCTATAATTGACATGTTTAGTGATTAAAGTCTCTTTTTCTATAACCTATACTGACAGTCTATAACTGGTAGCTATGGCTGTTTCCCATAGCAAAATAGTGGGGAGAAATATATATTACCAGGATACTTCCACATGCACAATATCCCTGTAAGAAAAAAAAATCTATAATATTGCCTAATTGTGATTGTCATTATTCACAGACAAATCTCCTAACCTAAAACTCCTAAAGTACCATAAACGCCCCCAAACTGTCAGTGTTCCTATTTTTTTCTCTGAACTGTCAGTGTTCCTATTTTTTTCTGTAGCACCTGAATGCAACACAAGTTTTACGTTCAGTATGAATCTCCATCTGATTGGTCCGCCCTGATTTAAACGCGGGAAAACCGTATTGCACTTTAGTAGCTAACTTAGCTTTTAATTTTACCCATCAGTCCAATTCCTAAATTTTAATATTTCGGTTTAATTTCGCTGCTGTTTCTATAAAGGTGAAACAAAATGTTTTACTACCCGAATGTTCTCCAACGTCATACTGGATGTTTTTCCACAATTTGGTAAGTAAAAAAAGCCAACTAGTTAGCATGTAGCTACAAAGCTAGCAAACTGCTAATCATGATTGCAGCAAGGATCAAGAAAATTTTACAAGTGTGTGTTTTGTTTATTTTTAGGTTAGCAGCTACCAGAGGTATCAGAATCACTCGCAGAGAGCTTCTCAGAGTAAACGTCAAGCGAACCTGGTAAGAATTGTGTTATCACCTTTTCTGTGCCATTTCGTTACTAGCAGGACAGATAAATTTCATAGGTTAGGCAGACAGTTTTCTTTAAAAGTTTACCTGTAAGGCACTTTACAAACATATTTTACATTAAAAATTTAAAATTCTATCTGTGTGCTACAATTCAAATTTTCAGCAGTTTGCTTTAAAATCATTGGTGTGTCGGTAATTGGGGTGAAAATATTAGCTAACGAGAGAAATTTCATCTGTCTTTGCCTAACAACCTAAAAAAAATAATGCTATACAGTACTCAGAATGGGTGTCTGGAAGATGATTAAACAGAAGCATGGTCAGTCCAAATACAGTAAAAGCAAGTCTGTGTTGCCTTATTTGACGTAATCTATGCATTTTCATGTTAATTTTGACCATTTGATCTACAAAAATATGAATTCTGTTCGAGCAAATGAAACCTCAATTTACAAACTGCTTTAAAAAGTATTACTATTAGTTCTTATTATTTTACCACCGGTAATTTTCCTTTGCCTCTGGTTGTTTTGGAGACACTTGTAATTTTCCTTAGCCTTTGGCTCTTTTGGAGATACCAAAAGTTCTTCCATGCATGAAGAACTCTACAATTGCATTATAGTATATCTGTAATACATTATTTTTACCGGTTCAGTTCTTTAAGATGATAAATATTGTGCATTTCTCTAACTCATGTTGTTAAATGTTTCCAGCATGGACATCCTGGACTATGTGACTGCACAGGTTCTTCCGCCACAACCCAACCTACCCAAGCCTCGGTTCTCTCTCTATCTGTCGTCCCAGCTGCAGTATGGAGTGGTTGTTGTCTACCACCAGCAGTGTGGCTTCCTGCTCGGTAAGAGAAAAGGATCAAGAAAGAGTAGAACGATGAGAAGCTCAAAATTCTAACCAGGTATGACTCCCCTCGACATTGTCTGCACGCAATGTTCTGTCACTCCCTGCTAAGAGAGGGAGAAGAGAGAGGGATTAAATGAGGGGCAGCGACTGGAAAATAAAGACTTTGCTTCATTATTCAATATAAAACTCCTTCACTATATGTTGAGTGACTGTGGCAGTAATCTAATTTTATAACATTTACCAGAAACCTAGGAGAAAAGTAAGTTGGGTTTAAACAATTTGGAGTAATTTTATGTTAGCTTACTGACACAGGATTAACAGAAAATACAGCCAGAATGATTTTCAGCAGAAATAAGAAACACAAAAATGCAAACACAATGCAAACACAATGCAAACCAACTTCATTATTTTGTGTTGCACAGTTTTAAGGTTAGCTCAAGGTGAAAAGGGGAAATGCTGTTTGTTTTTCTTTTGCAAAACACAACAGACAAATTGTCTCAGTCAGTTCTTTCAATCCCAGCAGTGTAGTTTTGTTGTAAACCTGAAACAGTGCTATCCTGGCACTCTGTATTATGCATGTGTCCCTACTCACGCTGGTAAGTGTGATTTAGAGGCCAATGTGGAGCTAATGAAAGCAATATCATCAAACACAGCTCAGCAGTCTCTATTCATCCAGTCTTAAATTACACCATGACACTGATATTGCATCGGATAGATCTGCAATCATGCTGTTGTCATGGTTGATGAAAACGGTGACACACAATGCAGGATGATCAGCAGTGGAAGAAGCCAAGAAAGCAGCCACTCTCTATTGTCTGCAGTGTCTTTTGGATTCAGTAATGGCATTTAATTTCATCCATCACTAGAATAGAATAGAACCTCCCAAGGCTATTGCCTATTTTGTGTGTGGGTAATATGTTCATACTGTATTTCATAAGAATGGCATAGAGCATAGCCTCATTTTTGCCTCATTGGCACCTGCTCATGTGTAGACAAGATTTGTAATGGTCACATCCGTTACCTTTGTCACCCTTGTATCTGCTTCTGTTTCTGCCGAAAAATGTGCATTTCTGAGAGGCGCATGTGTGAAAACTTTTAACGCCCTTTCTAATTTCCAGAGGAGGTTCAACAAACCATTGACCGTCTGCTGCGCTCTAAGAGATGCATCCATATTGACATGGCTGAATCTGACAGGTCTGCACACACACAAAACACACACACACACACACACACACACACACAGGCTGATGATGCACAGATAAAGGAAGTTTTGTATCATGGGGCATTTAAATTTGAAGCTGATCTGTGAGGATGTTGTACGAGTTTGGTGAGTCTGAGCTCAAAGGCTTTTGGTAGAATATTTATGAGAGAGATTATTTCAGGAATGAAGACTGTGAAAAAGAGAAGGTAGTGTTTTATTGAGTGAGCGAAAGGACAAATTGAGCTACTTTCATGTGAACGGCTGTGTAAATGTTGAATAAGCTATGCTATGGAACAGCAGTAATGTACAAGCTCTCCTGTCTGCAGATGCAATATATCGTTCCACATTCTGCATTGTAAATATGCTCTACATTAATCTTATCCCAGTGATATTTCATTATTTTATAAATCCGTAAAACTACCAGTGCAAATGCATAGTAATACATAAGCCAGTGCAACACTTCAAACTGTATAGGATACTTTAATATGTTCAGTACTACCAGTTATGTGTCACTCTTCATATCTGGTAGGATTGCTTTGGACATTCCGGACAGCCTGTATATGATGGAGAAAGCAGAAGGAGCTCAAGACCCCTTCTTTGGTCTCATGGAATCATGCCAACTCCCCAGCCCCTATAGAATACACCAGGTACAGGTGTGATACATATAACAGTACAGCCATACATTGTATATATCTCAACAACTGTCAGGCAATCTAAACAGGGTATGTAATCCAAAGTCTGTGGCTGCAGTTCACCAGTAATCTCTCACCATCTGCAGATAACCATCAGGTGAGGTTTCCACTCTGTAAACATAGGCAGGCAGGATGAATATGGGGAAAAAACATTGTCAGAAACCTGTAGCCACAGCTGTTACAATAATAGTTGTATTTACCCAAAATCATAATTACACCAAAAAAAATCATGTTATGTAGGTCCCCCTCATGTTGCTATGACTGCTCGAAACCGTCAGAACATGGACACAGAACCTTTGAGGGTGTCCAGTGGTGGCACCAGGATGTTAATCGTAATTTATCTGGATTCTGTGGGGGGTGTAGAGGGACTTCTGTCGATCGGGCTTGTTAAGGTGCATCTCCTGGATACTTGATTGGGATCTGGGGTGTTTGAAGGTCGGGTCAGCACCTTTGGCTCTTTGTCTCGTTCCTCAAGCCTTTTCAGAGCAGTTTTTCCCATGTGGAGGGGCGCATTGTCCCACTGAGGGAGGCCGCTGCCATCAGTTAGTGCTGTTGTTCTCGGGGGCGTGCTTGGCATGCAGCAATGTTTGGATGCAGAGTTCGTGTCAGAGTAACATCCACATTAATGTGAGGATCTTAAGTTTTCCTGCAGAACATTGCATTTAACAAGATCATCAATGTTAAAAACTTCACCTATCTAGCTTTAATTTTGTGGCTGATCAGTGTAGGAGATTTAGGTGTATAAGATATCTTAACCCATGATACAGCACATCTATACCTGGGAACGTCTCGCACCAATTGCAGCTTCCAAGGAAATATTTCCACTTCTAAAGAACAGTTAATTGATGAAACAGGACACTTTATGTAAGACTATATTGGCCCTTATCCAAAAACATTGTTAAACTTCTGATGTCCCACACAACTGCAATTTTATCAGTGTATTAAATAATAAGTAGGTACTACATTAAGCTCAAATGCTCAGCTGCAAGTGACAGTTTCTAACCACTGTCCAGATACAGTAAAGGTTTAACCTAAGTACATTCATAAAGGCCACACCTTTCCAAAGGTGAAGTAAAGCATGTCAATTACCTAATTACCACGTCATACAGTCACAGCTTGACCTGTTAGAACATCCTGCTCAGTTTTTTTCCCACATCTCATGACATCTCAAGTTACAAATCACCGCTTCCTTGTGTCATAGTTTTATGTTTATATGTTTCATGCTTTTATTGTCTATGTACACAGGTCACTCCCATTCTGGTATATGTCCAATATACCTCCACACAAGCCTTGGGTGTTTTCAGATACAGTAATTCACAACAGATAACGCACTCTGGCCAACGTAAATCAGGCAGACACGGCTGAACTTTGTCCTTCTTGTAATCATTCCCAGTGCATCAACCATCTGGGGCTTTATTCTTCGATAGACAACACAGCATGGGAGCAGTGATACAAAGATATTTCACTGGACACTATCATGGAATTTAAAGGCTCCCTGCACTGCGATGCAAATTAGAAACCTGCTGTGTGTTCGGATTCAAATTTGAATTTCACTATCAGTACATCAGGGTGTCAGGCAGGCCATATGACTCACCTGATCCCTTGTTACACATAGTGTTCACCACAGAGTACCATGTGTACCCAAAGTTAAGCCTTTTGGTAAACAGAGTCATCCCAAGTCATCCAAAAAAAGTGAACATAAATGTGTTTCTGTGTGCAGTGTGTCACATGATGCTTGTAATGTTTATTTCTAGACACAGTTTGTGACTGAAGAGGTGGGTTCACAGCACTCCCTGGTGCCTAGTCCCCACACTGCACTTGACAAAGATGGTGAGAAGAATATTTCAACATTTGAGCCACTGTGGCTGTGTCCCATTTCAGGGATGACCAGTTTTTAAGTCCACATTTCAAGACCAAAGGTAATTATGGCTTTATAAGTTGGCCCCATGTGAAGGCTCTTAGAATCTTTGAAGGACATGGCTATTTTTTATTTATTTTTTTTTTTTTTGCATTAATGGTCTTAGAATCCATCTCCCATTTGTCTCAGAACCACTACAGTAAATCGTATTTTACTATCTGAACTAGGGATGATGTGCGGGTTCAGCCTCCAGTCCTCAAAAGACAAAACCTGTGTGGACTTTAAAAGAGATCTCATCTGAAATAGGACACAGCTCACTGTATGACAATATTTATAACTGTGCTATTCAAAAATGATTTTTCAGTATGTCTCTAAATAACAAGTGACACTTTAATTACTCACTTTACTAAACTTACCTACATTAATAAGAAATGTTCAGAGGATTTAAAAATTGCTCTCTTAACCCTCCTATTATCTTTGGGATCAATTTGACTTCGTTCAGTGTTTAACATCTCTACATAAGTCATTGATGTAATTTTTTCAGTTTTATTTAAAGGGCTATTTAAACTTGGGTAAACAATTTTAATTATGATATTTTCTGGAGGTTTAAATTGCTGGGGTCAAATTGAACCCAAGGATAAACTATGTCAGTAAATTTGAATGTAATAGGAGGGTTAATGGGCTTAAACCTTGCTATGCCAAAATGTTAAATTGTGAGGTTTCTATTTGTCTGCTTTTAGATAAAATTTGAATGAAACTTTAATGGCATCATTGAATTAATCTAATATGATCTGCCCAAAGTGGATTTAAAATGGGATCAATCCCAGACTAAGTGCAGGCCTAAATTTCACTGTTCTGGCTTTTTTCTCCCTAAAACCATCATTCAAGTGCAGCAAACAGGTGATTCTCAGCGTTTCTCTTCTGATGCTTCAAACATACTTGCCACCTAATTCCTCCTGCTGTGCTAAACCAGGTTTCAGGTCATCTCCAGCTGCCATCACTATGATGGAGAAGGAGCAGTTCGTCATCACCACTGCTGAGGTAAACTTTCTGTCAGATCCAGGCACAAGAACAAGTCCAGTCATCATTTTGAAACCCAGCAGGTGTCCTGCTAATCACTGAGCTCGGATGCGGACCGTGTGCCCACAGCATCTCTAGTTAACATCTTCGTCGCACGTTCGATACTTCCTTTCCTGTCACCACTCTGCCTCAGACTATGAGATGAGAATGTTTTGTGTTTATGACAAAGATGCACAGGTCTCTTTAAGTGAGTTTCGTGGGAGGTATCTGTTTCAGTGAGTTAATGGTCTTGAGGGATGCGGACATAAAATGCTTGATGGCAAACAGACTGTCCTGAATTCACCTCTCAATAGCCACAATGTTTAAAAGAAGGCAGACCTACATTCTTGTAGTCATAAGAGCAGCTATGATTCGCTGCTGTAACTTGAGTCGAGCAGTACCTTCACACACTATTAGCCATCACTGTGTCCCTTAGATACGAATAATGCTCCTCCTGAAGCATCATCAGCTGATGAAGTCCATTTTGGCTTGAAATGATCTGACTTAAGTACATCAGCCTGCACTAACAGTTTGCTCACAGAGACATGTTGCTAACATCTCTGTTTATTTCTTTTTATTTATTTTTCCTTTATTTAACCAGGTGGGTTAATTGAGAACAGATTCTCATTTACAATAACGACCTGGCCAAGAGGCAGCACAGAGGAGAAAATACAATAAAGGGAATACATCCAAAAAAAAAAAAAACAGTATACTTGACTGCCTCATGGCTTTGTTTTTGCTTTGCAGGCAAAAGTCTGCTGTTATCTATACTTCTGTTTAGTTGTTGCATTTTAGTTTGTGTTTTTGCTTACATTATTCTTCCTCTTTTTTCCTCTGATTGTCCCCCTTTTGTCTGCATCAGTATTTTGAGGGAGATGACTTTCCTGAAGCCACAGACAGAGACATTGACTTGTTGATGGAACAACCGGACCAGTTCCGTAGCGGTGCGTGTTTCTCTCATAAACATAGATCAATGCAAATATAGTTTATATGCATGATTTAGTTGTTTAGTCTGATATTAAACTGTAGGTTTGCAGTAATTTTTGGAAGTGTGAAGTGTCTCGCTCACCAGTTCACAAAATGCTCCTCTCTTGTAACGCGTCTGCACCAGTCAGCCAGGTGTCACTGCTGTAATTGCAAAAAAAAAGAAAAAAAGAAATTCTGCCTGTGTGAGCGCTTTCGTTACCAGCAAGAAAAGGTTTCTTTTCTGGAAGCAGTTTCATTTCAGGGGCGAACAGAGACAGAATGAGATAGTCTGTGTTGCTTTAACAAAGACTAAGAAAGAATACACATCTGCCTACTGGTATTAACAAAGACAGGATGGACAACAGGACAGTAGCTTGTGTTTGAATGGGTAGAATTTGTTTTCGCTCTCAGTTTCTTGCATTAAAACATCAGTAAGAGAGGGGATTTGTTAAAAAGCGTGTTACAATAAGGAATAATTCATAATGTAAATCATGTGCTTCATTAATGAGCTTTTGAGATCATTTTGGGGAATATGTGCTCACATGAGTGGCTGTTAATTTGTGTCTCTGTGTTTTGTATGTGTTGTGTTGTGTTTTCTTGTGCTTAATGTGGGCACTGTATGTGTTAAACAGAAGTGGAGGGGAGGACCAGGGAAGTTGAGGGAGCCATGTCTTCTGTTGACCAGTGAGTCAATGCCGTGAGAGCACCAACAGAGCACTAATAATTTCATGGTGGCATTACCAGTTAGCCTTTGTACACTGACAGAAGAAAAAAGAGACTTTTAAAATATCAAGGAAACAACTGACTGATGATTTCATCATAGTTTGGTCAAAATGTTAATCTCAAAGCTGCAACAACAACCTTTGTCACGATATCTAAACACGTTTGGAGTCGTGTGTGCCGTCAGTGTGAGTGGGTTATTTTTTCCAGGCTGAAGGAGTCGATGTTGGGGACGGAGCGGGACAGCGTGTGGCTGCTGGATGAGGAGTCCGGTCGACCTGTGGAGGTTCTGCTGGAACCTGTTGCCCTGGAGATGACCCCTCCACATGTTGCCATGCCAACTCCACCCTCCGGGAAAGTGGGAGACATAGTGACAGAAAGCCTCTGTGAAGAGGTGAGACATTGGTGATGCTGGCTGTTACTAGTTTTGTGAATCGGTAAAAGATGAACTGTGTGCTATTGCCACTAACTGCTGAATTCAAAGCAAGTAACTCAGAACATGCATAGCTTTTGGAAACATACTGCCATTACCGGAGACATTTTTACACTGGTTTGTTCATTGAAACCAGTTATTGTTTTTTCTAATTGCTTAAATGAAAAATACAGACTGCTAAATGTACATTTAGTGCATTTGTGCAGCAATTATGAACGGAAAACAACTGACGTACAGGAAAGACTGAGCTGTAAGTTACAAATAAAGTGACACAAGTATTTTGTTTTGTTTTGGAAACAGGTAATGGAAAGCACATGAGGGTGTGTCAACACATTGAACTGGGGTGTGATGTCATTTTACAGTGCTCTAAAACATTCAAACTATGTATTTCTCGTTCTGCCGTCAGGTGGTTGCTCCTCCTTTAAAGAAGCGAGGTGGACGAGGCAGGCGTCAGCTGGTTTTTGCTGACCCTCAGATGCAGATATCCGACACAGCAATGAAGGAGCAGATTGGAAACCCGACGGCTGAGACACTGGACCCGGTAGTGAACATAATCACATAAAGTCACTTAACAACAGCAATTAGAGATTTGTCTGTCTGAATTCGCTGAATGAATTTAATGTAATGACAGTTTCAGATATTTAATTAAGGTTTGGACCACTTGCACCTGCCTGCAGGAGCACACATTGAACAGCTTCTTCCCTGTCAACCACACAGAGCATACCAAGAGGTGTATTCATTATATGCATGTACAAGAATGTATACTCTTTCAGTTGACAGGGATCGATGGTTCACTGAGCAACTGAATTTTCAGTCTTTGCTGGTCTGTAATCAAAGTCTTGCGATCAAAGTGTCTATTCACCAGTGTACCAGTTAATTAAACTCCAGCTCTCTAGTTCTCTTCCTTCTGTCCAAACCCCATGGAATAGTGCTCATTGATTTTATTGTTTTCCTTCTTTGCTGCTTTTTTCTCTTCCTTCCTTCCTTCCTTATGTCTGGCAATTCCTCTGAGCTGCTATGATTGGCTGTTACCCCTCTCTTTCTCTCTGCAAATCTAGCTTGGACCATCCACACTAGAACAGTCAAGCTAATATCTTGTTTTTCCTCTCAGTCAATGGCGTTGCTGGACCTTCAATCTCTGACCAAGCATGCCAGTCCTGCTCAGCTCTTCAGCACCCCCTGTGGATGTCAGTACTAAGTGCAACACTTTACCTATGGATGCTGAAACGCCAATACAATGGAGTGAACAGTTATTTCTAATATCGCTTTTTTTCTAGAATGATGAAACTGTAGGAGAGAGTTAAGATTATGAAATAGCCCTCCTATTATCTCTGAGGTCAGTTTGACCCCATTCAATGTTTAACATCTCTAATCTCTAATCATTGACATGATTTTTATGAGTTTTATTTAAAGGGCTATTTACACATACACTTGGGTAACAATTTTAATTATGATATTTTCTGGAGGTTTAAATTGCTGGGGTCAAATTGAACCCAAGGATAAAAGATGTCAGTAAATTTGAAGGTAATCGTAGGGATAACAAACAAAAGAATATTGAAACAGAAAGCTACAAAAACACAATGACAAAATAGATGACTGCATAACAGTGTGGCATGTTGTTAGTGTCATCTTGCAGTGGAAGAAGGGATTTATGAATAACTTCCTAATCTTTGACATCTTATACTTTAAAAGATGCACAAGTGGTACAGTAGCTCTGCAAACTTCTCTTCGAAGAAACAAATAGTAAATAAATATCTTAAGAATTAAAGCTACACAGTTGTTCAGTTTTACATGTAAAAAGTTTAGGTGAGCCATAAAAAGGCTCATATACCTTTTGCTTTAAGTAAACCTGCAACCTGTCTGTGTTTTTAGAGTCTGTAGAGTAAATCTCTTAAACTATGTGCATGTTTTTTAATCAGCCACAAGCTTGTAGGGCCTCAGGAACTTTTTATTAGTATTGACTACAGCACTTAATAGCAACCTGTGAAAAGCAATGGCTAACCACAGTTTCTCAATGATCAGCACTGGTGAGGAAAATACAGAATAATCTTTCAGCATTACAAACATTCTGCCTCCTGACCCCTCCGTAGCCCTCCTCCATGCTGACCTCCTGTCACTATGGAAACAGCAGGCCTCCCTCGCTGTCCTGCCCGGACAAGGGGACAAAAACAAAGGAGAGGAGGAGGAGGAGGACGATGAAGAGGCGAGAAGGGAGTCAGAGCAGGACAGAGAAATCCTGAGGATGGAGAGGAAGAGGAGGCGCTCAGGCATGAAGGAGGTGTGTTTGTGTGAAGCTACATTTTGAAAGGAGGTGGGGAGAGTTCAGCCAGCTGTGTGGAGCATGTAAAGCAGTGGTAGTTGTAGCAGTGACTGATTAATCATCTCACCAAATTCCACTTTCATGTCATTGCAAAACCTGTGAGTGTATTTGTGAAACTGCAGCTATACTAATAAAGGTGATCTGTTAGGCAGCTAGCCTGCAGTCATAGCCTGCCAGCTGAGCGTGTTCAGTTCAGTGGTGAGACAAATTAGATTATAAACCTTTCTATTTCATAAAACTCCCTCTCTCTTTCTCTCTCAGATTACCAGTGAGTCAGGGCTGCAACCAGCAGAAGGCTCATGTAAGAAGTCTTCCTCTCTCTCTCAGACACGTTAGTTTTCAGATCATGTTTTGGAAGCACAATAAACAGATTATTGACTTCATTGTGTGTTTGTATGTAAACAGCTGTGTTAGATGTGATCCTGGACATATCCAAAGAAGATAAATCTGCGAGCGATGTCATTACTCCTGTCGGCAGATGGTACGTCTCTGACGGATACACAGGCGGACAGCTAGATGGATAGGAAACAGATCACTGTGTGTGCATGTGTGTGCGTTTGTGTAGGTCTCCGCAGGAAGAAGTCCAGCCACCAATGGAGCCTATAGCAGAGGAAAACATTGAGCTGCCCGAGGCTCAGACTGATACAGAGAGCAGGAGCATGCTGAGGTACTATGATACACAGTCTAGTGAGCTCACAAGCACACACACACACACACACACACACACACACACACACACACATACATACTTGGCTGGCTGTGATTTTATTCCACATGACTTCAAGGAAGTCACAAGAAGCCTTTTGCAGATGCACACCTTTAAATAAAACATCAAGGTGCGAGAAGTGAGAATCATGCTGGTGATATATTCTCTGGATATAAAACCCATTTAGGATTTAATGTGGCAATGCTGGATGGGAAAAGGCAATGCTGCAAACCTTTCATTGACATTTTTTTGTCCGTCCTGACCCCTGAGTTTGAATTGCTGACTCTGTATTGGCGCTGCAAAACCTCCAGTTGCACTTTATTGAACTAATATTCCCTCATGTTGAGATGTGAAGACTCCAGATTCAGTGCTGTTGCCAGAATCACCCTGATGTGATTAGTAGTTGTGGCGTGGCATTTTCCCCCTGCTCTCTCTGTCTAAGTGGCTTTTGACAAGAATATTCAGCTTACTGTGATGTGTGCAAGAAATTAGTCCACTGCTCTTTGGTTTGATCAAAACACTTCCAGTGCCAGTTACGCCCAGTTAAACCCCAAATTAGTCATACCCACGAAAAATGTTGATTTATAGTGAATTTTTTAATTTTTTTTTTACCAATGGGTTTCTTCTGGCTGGAAATGACTTTGAAAGCAGTGAGATGTCATGTTAGAGATGTTAATAATACATTTGAAAGTTTTTCAATGTTTTTTTAAATTTTTATTTAAAAAACAAATGTTTTTATGTGTTCTATGCCACAGTTTTTTGAAAAAAATGCAGCTTCTATACTGTTCCAAATGGTTCTGCTCATGTCTAATATATTCTAGAGCATTCTCACTGAGAACAGCTGCAGTACTCCTCTCGTCAGTCAGCAGTCAAATGCAAGTCACGGCTAAAAACTTCCTGTTAGGTTTCATCACTGAGGGAGAGGTTTGCATTGGGAAAGGCTATAAAGCCAAATCCAAGTGATTTCAAGAGCCAGTAGGCACAATGCAAAAAATATTAAAAAAGTACAGAGTTCCACTCTGTGAGAAGTCAAAGATTCTGGTGGGAAGCCAAAAATGATCCTGCACTGGCAAGAATGAGTGTGAGGGGCAACAAGATCCAAGGATCAACGCTGAACAATTCTGATAGCAACATCTAAAGGCAGACACCACAAAAGGCTGGTCTTCATGGGTGCTGAGCAAAGTGCAATCCACTTCTCCAAGACAGGCACACAAAGCTCACCAGGACAAAGAAGAAAGCTTCTGGTCAGATGAGATAAAAACAGAGTTGTTTGGACACAGATGTGGGAGAAACATTCAACCCCAAGAACATCCATCCCATTGAGAATCAGGGGAGGGAACTGAAGACCAGAGAGATGTCAAGAAGGCCTTCCAACCTCAAAGACCTTTAAATTATCACACAAGAGGTCCCAAAGTCCCTGTGTTGCTCAGTTCTAATAATTAATCAAACTGGATATGAGACTTGTTGTCTGCAGTGTCACAGGCTGACCTGCTTTCTAAGTTGTTGAACATCTGCTTTGAAATTCAAATTAGAAACCAGCACAGAGGTCTGAGTCTGGGCCACAGACGTGTTTCCCAATTAAAATCGTCTATCAGAAGTCAAAACTTTTGGTTGACCGTCATAGATTTAGTGTAAATGTCCCATATTGGCCAGTCAGCGTCAGTGCATTAGTATGAAGCATTCGTGTGATCCAAGTAAAACTTTGAAAAAAAAATCTCAATAAATGTTCAATGTTACAATTTCTTGGTATAAAAACAGTAAAATCTGATGTTACTTATCAGAATTGCATAGTGGATTCTTGGCTCCTAGTATGGCCTTCAGAGTGATTGTTCGTTGAATCCTGTTGTGCTTTTCTCTTCTCCAGCTGGATCTCCTCAAACCTGCAGAGCTTTGGTAAAGTCACCTTTGACTCATTGCTGCCCCCGGAGGCCGACCGCTCCACTGCAGCTCACACGCTCTACAAACTGCTGGGTGAGGAAATCAAAACCTGCAGTTCTCTGAACACTGAACACATCCTGTTCTGTTGTTAATGGAGTAGCAGTACTGACCTAGAAACTGATAGTAACTAGTGTTATTATAACGGAGAATTCATTTTTAACTGTATTCATTTCTCTGCAGCATTCTGTGATACTGTCAGGTTTGTTCAGTGAAACATGGTGATGAATGGTATTCATTGTTGTCCCTCAGAGCTGCTGTCTGCTGGACAGGTGACTGCAGGTCAAACTGAACCGTACAGTGACATCACTATAAAGCCTGCAGCACTCAGCATGGATGTCTGAACACCAACAGAGTCACACTCAGCTCCCACAGAGTTACAGTTACTATAATCACACTGCTGGATCCTGTTTGTAGCACCTCCATAAGGACATTCAATCTGAGCCTTTCAACTTTAACCAAAAACACATCATCAGTTATCTGTGTTTTTATGCTTATATTTAAAAAATCTTCAGAAGAGTAAAACATCAAACTGTACTTTAAGAATGGTTACAATATTTTTTACTTTTTTTTTTATATACCATGTTAATCTTGCTCAGATTTGTTCGTCTGGTTGTATTTTTAAACAGTTTGTTAGTGTTTCACATTCTGATATTGAAATTTGAAACCAGCAGATTTTGTTAAAGACTTTGTATGTTTTTTTTATGGATATTTGTCCTTTTAAGTGATTTTAAAGTACACTTTTTCTACAGTTTGTATCTACAGAATGAATATTTATCCTTTTAATTACTTAAACTTCAATAAACTGTTATTTATTCAGAGGAACAACAATCATTTTTTAAGAAATTTTTCTGTGCTCTAAACATATTCACAATTCTTAGAAAAGCAAAATTTTGATCTGATTTGTCAGAATGTTTCCCAAGTACAGTCGTCCTCAAATTTATTCATACCTTCCATTAAAGAAAAGGATTTTTTGTTTGTTGGTTTGTTGTTTGTTTTAATATGTCTGCTGAACCACAATTTAAAAGCAATGTCATGATTTTCATAAAAATGTATTTATTTTTACTTTTCAACTTATTTCAGTGACAGCTGTTTTTTCCCCCCCTTCTTTAATGGGAGGGTATGAATAAATTTGAGGACGACTGTATGTGAAGTGAGTTTTACTGGTCACCTGCAAACTAAGCCTTTATTTAGTACCAAATACAAATTTCTTCACTACAATCAATCGTCAAGATAACTATACCATTGTGGATGACGCTGGTTTTCTCTGGACTTAAAGTGTACCAGAGAAAGAAAGCAGCCCAGAAACCACAGTTTACATTTAGGATGTTCTGCTTATGGTGCAGGAAAAAAAATAGAAATCAATGAAATGTGCATAAAGTACATAAGTTTATCTTCCTGCTTCCAACAGAACCGGATTGTGCCTCGCTGGCAGAAACTCCTGTCTGACCTCACGCCTCAATAACTCTGCACAATTGAAGTGGTTGCTTGTTAAATGCACTGGGCTCTGCAGTGTGTGTGTGTGTGTACATGACAGGGAGACCATATGCATGTGGCACCTCAACGTGACTGAAAGGCCTGAGCTGAGGTCAGCGCTGCACTCACGGAGCACAGATCCTAATTCACATCAGCACACTGGAATGGTGAATTTGTTGATACTACTTGTGATACATTTCAGGTTGGGGTGCCAGGAAATGTCCTCTTCCACCGCCATGTGATGTTTTGATACAAAAACACATAGCTGGTCAACAATGTTTTTCTATTGTGTACAAATACGGTTTCACAGTTAGACATCAGTGTCACGAACAGCGGAGCTTCCCTGTAATAGCCACCGCCTCCGCTGATGCCACGTCGCTGGAGCAGAAGTGTGACTTCAGAGTGTTTACAGCCACACAGCAGGCTGCTGGGATGGCAGGGCCACCAAGAGGCAGTTTGATTAAAATAAGAGCGGTGAGAGGGAACCAAAACTCAACAGATCAAAACAAAGAGCTTCAAGGGGCTGCAAAGCCGAGGGAAACTGCACACTGTAAATAATGAACGTTTTTAAAATGATTTTAAACTGTAGCTGTTTCAACAATTTAGTAGTATTTTACAGATTTCACAAGTTTGTTAAATTACATATAACATCTAGTAAAATTACAGAAAACAAAAGTGTTCATCTACTCGTTAGACATTTAAAAAAACAAGGCAAATCTGTAACAAATGTCCACATGAAAAATCTATATTTTAAATTTTTTTTGTGTACTGTATTAAATCAGCAAACAGTAATGTTATTACAAATCCTCTTTTTGGTAAATTAATGACAGTATTTAGTAAAATAACATAATTTGTAATCATTTATATATATATATGTACATATATATATATATCTTGCTCATAGTAATTTGTTGTTGCCCATTTCAATTTTAAACTTTCATTTTACAGATTTTCCCAGTTTTTTGTTTGTTTGGTTTTTTTTTATTGCAGAAAATCCATCCATCCATTATCTGTACACTGCTTAATCCTCACTAGAGTCGCGGGGGTGCTGGAGCCTATCCCAGCTGACTATGGGTGAAGGCAGGGGACACCCTGGACAGGTCGCCAGTCTATCACAGGGCTACATTTAGAGACAGACAACCAAGCACACTCACATTCACACCTACAGACAATTTAGAATCGGCAATTAAGCTCAACATATTTTTTGACTGTGTGGGAGGAAGCCGGAGAACCCGGAGAGAGTGGCGCCGATTGCAAGATGGCGCAGCGGATGGCAGCCTCGGCACTGAGCTCCCTAGGAATTTGTTTGTTTTTGTTTAATTTCTCTGTGTCTGGTCATCTCAGTCCGTTAACCTACAGCAGAGATGAGCTGCTCAACATCAGAGAGTCCTCTTCGGACACTTTTCTTTCTCTTTCCTCAAGTCCAGATAGTTTTATTGAGATTTTAGTTGGAGGGGCAGCAGCTCTGTATAGGACATGGAGAAAACGCAGACGGGGCGAGGCGTGCTCGTTAAAAGCCTTAAGCGCAGCCTCAGAACACCGCTTCCATCCATTCACCTGGTTAATATCCGCTCCCTGCCCAACAAAATGGACGAGCTGCATTCCTCCTGAGTGGATCCAATAAGGACTTTGCTCATTCGGCGGCCCTTTGCTTCACTGAAACCTGGCTCAGTGAAGCTGTACCCGGCTTCTCACTCCACCACGCGGACCGCGACACGGAGCTATTGGGGAAATCAAAGGGTGGCGGAATAAGCTTTTACATTAACGAAGGTTGGTGCACATCTGTCACAGTCCTGTCTAGACATTGCAGCCCTTATCTGGAGTCATTTTTCATCAACTGCAAGCCGTTTTATTCGCCAAGGGAGTTTTCCTCGTTCATCATGGTCGGAGTTTACATCGCCCCCCAGGCCACTGTGAATGAAGCGCTGCAAACTCTCGCTGAACAATTAAACGGCTTTGACCAGAAACACCCGGACTCGCTTTTTATTGTCATGGAGGATTTTAACAGAGCGAGGTTGAACCAAGAACTGCCAAAATACAAACAGCACATTCGCTGTCCCATCAGAGACAGCAACACACTGGACCACTGCTACACCGTTATTAAAGGAGCATACCACTCTGTTCCCCGGGCAGCTCTAGGACACTCTGACCACTGTCTGGTCCACCTCATCCCCACATACAGGCAGAAATTAAAATCTGCAAAGCCTGTTGTCAAAACTGAGGAAATGGACAACCGAGGCAAAGCAGGAACTACAAGCCTGTTGTGACTGTACAGACTGGAGTGTTTTTGAAGCTGCCAACAACAACCTGGATGACCTGACAGACACTGTGACTGCTTACATCAGTTTCTGTGAGGACATGTGTGTATCAACCAGAACCTTCAGGACCTTCAATAACAACAAGCCATGTGCTGACCAGCTGGCTCCAATCTTCACCTGGATTTTTAAAAGGTCCCTGGAGCAATGTGAAGTCCCCTCTACTTTCAAACATTCCACAATCATACCGGTTCCCAAGAAACCCTCTATCACAGGACTGAATGACTACAGACCAGTGGCTCTGACATCTGTGGTCATGAAGTCGTTCGAGAGACTGGTGTTGAGCCACCTGATTCCATAGTAGGTCCTCTGCTGGACCCCCTGCAGTTTGCCTATCGGGCAAACAGGTCTGCGAATGATGCAGTCGATCTGGGGCTGCACTACATCCTGCAACATCTAGATGGCCTAGGGAGTTACGCAAGGATCCTGTTTATGGACTTCAGCTTGGCTTTCAACACTATCATTCCTGAAATCCTCTCCACCAAACTCTCCCTCCTCAATATGTCTCCATCCATCTGTCAGTGGATTACCAGCTTCCTGACAGACAGGAGTCAGCAGGGGAGGATGGGAGATGTCACCTCCTCAACCCGGACTGTCAGCACTGGCGCCCCCCAGGAGTGTGTCCTGTCTCCACTTCTCTTCTCCCTCTACACTAACGACTGCACCTCCAAGCACCCAGCTGTCAAACTCTTGAAGTTTGCAGACGACACTACAGTCATCGGCCTGATCCAGGACGGAGACGAGTCTGAATATCGACAGGAGATTGAGTGGCTGGTGTTTTGGTGCAGCCAGAACAACTTGGAGCTGAACAAGATCAAGACTGTGGAGATGAGAGTGGACTTCAGGAGACAGCCCTCGCCACTGCTCCCCCTCACCATCAGCAACAGCCCTGTGTCAGCTGTAGAGTCCTTCAAGCTCCTGGGGACTACAATCACCCAGGACCTGAAGTGGGAGATGAACATCCACTGTATCCTCAAAAAGGCTCAGCAGAGGATGTACTTCCTGTGACAGCTGAGGAAACAGTCTGCCACAGGAGCTGTTGATTCAGTTCTACACCGGCGTCATAGAAGCTGTCCTGTGCAGCTTTGTCACTGTGTGGTTTGGAGCAGCCACACTACAGGACAGAAACAGACTGTGTTGTGGAAATTTTCTATGATCTTAATAAAGTCCAGTAGTCCGAGGTGTCTTTGTCTTGTTTTATTCAAAGCTTTGAAGGTACAGGTCATACAGATTGCAAGCAGTCTGCAGGAGAGTACACATGATTGCAGGCAGCACAGTATTCTTATACATGTACAGGCTTGGTCTTTACTCCAATGGTAGTATAACAATCCCATGATGAAAAACAACAGCTGGGTGTACAGGGTGTACTCATCCACAGACATTAGAAGACTAAACACGCTGGATCAGGCATCAAAAGTCTAAACACATGGGATGCACAAATTCTTCTTCCCATGTACGGCCACTAATGTTTTACCTAGATGTTATGAGAACACATTTTTGGGCCTGTAACCTTTCCACTCAGCTTTAATGAAACTTAGAGAAACTTGCTTTGA